GGTGGCAGACATATCCAACACACTTTCCTCCTCCTATTTTCCCCACAACATGAACCCTGGGAGGCGAGAGAGAGTGACTGGCCCAAAGTCACCCAGATGGCTTTCATGGTGTATTCTTGTTAATAGAATAAACTTTCACCTTAAAAACATAATATGTGTGTTTTATAATATGTGACCTGGTGTTATTTTAAAAATAATGTTAAAATGTTAAAACAATTACTTTAAAATATTTTTTAAAATAAATAATAATAGTGAACAACATTTAAAATTCTGTTGCTGTTCTTTTCTCATCAGACTATTGCTTGGTGATTTAATAAAAGGAGGATAAACAGGCACTAACTAAGGAAGCATTTTGAAGTTGATACTACTAAATACCTATTATTTTAATAGATCTGATCATTTCAAGCTATAAATTAGAAATTAGAAGCAGCAACATGAGGCTCTTCCAGCCACTGTCTCCAGCGAGATCAAGTTTAGACTTGCCTAAAACCGTAGTTAAGTTCTGTTGGGATTGTGCAGTTCACAGATTTTTATGAGTGAATAACAGGGAGCAGGGAAGAATGAGCATTCAGTCAAAATGTGCCACTTGGCAAGTTTGCTCATGATACCTTCTAATTACCCTAATACTTGTTGATCCTCCTGGAAATACTAGATAGACCTCTCCAACCTCCTGTTCTTCAGATGTGTGCGCATTGCAAATCCAATGCCTCTGAATGGTTAATATGAGAGACAGAAAAACACCCAGTGCAGAACTGCTTATTTACATAATTCCATCTGGTAAATCATTTGATGACAAGGGAAAACTAGGCAAAAAACTCTCTCTCCCTCTCCCTCACTCCTTTACTCATCCCTGACTTTCAGAGACTTTACAGCTCTTTTCATTCTTTCTGTGTTTTATAACTCTATTTAATGTTTCCAGGATTAATCCTGTATTAGCCTGATGGCATCCACACTGTGCATTCTTTGCCAGCCTCATTTGCTAGCATAACTGATTTTTCTAAGAAATTTTATTGCATGATATAACCAAAATAAGATCGCCTTAGTTTGGTAGACTTAACTTCCAGTGATATTTCTGGCTTGATGTCTAAATTTTGCTTGTTATTTTTGCTGTCCAGGGTACATGCAGTAGCCACATTCAAATCTGAAATTCTAAGGAAGTTATTTTTTAATGTTTTTTATTATCCAACTTTCACAGCTACAGGTGGTTAGAGGAAAAAATAACACTTACTATTCTGCATTTGGTATTAAACTGATGCCCTGCTTTTCAGTATCTTTTCCAGTTAATAATTGCAATATACTCCAGTGTTATTCTGCGTTTAATTTAGGGACAAAGCGTCTTCTGATTGACTAATTTTGGAACCAAGGAAAATAAAAGTCCTGAAGTAATTATGGTACTTTGCTTTGATTCTCAATTTTTATCTTGATGTCACTACAGCCAATTATTATCTTTACTTTAATATTCTTGAAGTTTAAATGTAGTTCAGTTTTTCACTTTCTGCCTTGACTTTTAGGATATTACTTTATCTGTTTTACATCCTCTTCATTTTCTGTGACTGACATGGTGCCATCTGCTTATCTTAGATTGTTAATATTTTTGCCACCAAATTTTATTCAAATTTGTACTGTTAAGATTCCTGAAAATTGTCTAGATTGCAATCCTGCCTCTTACCTTTTCCCATCTTTCTCATTCATATTTATTGATAATTTTATATAAAAGACAAAGAAGAAAAGAAAAAAAGTAATGCAAAAAAGAAAAAAGAAAGTAAAGTTATGAAATGTGACTTCTGACCTTTTCTTCATTAGATAATTACAATCTTATAATCCCTCCTCTCTCTTAGATGTTTTACAAATCACTTCAGGACCTCACTTAATCCATATATTTTTAAATCTTCAAACCCATAAATCATTTTATCATTTTTTTCTTCTTCCAGAAAAAGTCCATATAAAATTTCCAGTCTTTCAGAAAAAAATTGTTGTTTTCTCTGATCAAACAGGCCACTTTGTTATCTCAGCAGGTTCTGACATTTTCACAATATATTCCTCCACTGCCAGAATTTCATTGTTCTTCCATTGTTGAACTTGCTACAAAATCAGTGTGCCATGATTCATTTGTAATACATTGTCCATAAATCCCAATTTTAAAAGTTCACATTTCTTACTTTGTCTTTGTCCCACTCTGTCTCCAAAAATTGTTCTGACAGTGGCTTCTTGATGGTTGTACAATGATTGTGTTAAATGAATGAAGTGTTCTGGGATGCCTATTTCTTACAGGTACCTCTAGATTTTTTTCATGTTCAACAAAATCAAAAAGACTGCTATTTGCTGATTACGCACACATTCTTTTTAAATTTATGTGCTTATTCCATGATGCAAAAACATTAGTAATGTAGATTTAAATGCCTCTTCCTCTTCTTGGGTTATATTTTGGATAGTTCTCTTCTCATGATTGGGCCTAATCATTGTTACATGATTTTTACTAATTAGTTTTCTGCATGTCATATTAGAACTATTGTGCCATAATTGGAGTAGACATATGTTACCATTCTTCAGGGCTGGAATAAACATTCATATTTTGCATTTTTTTGGACATTCAGTGATGTCTCTTATTTTTGACATGGTTTCATAGTTGTTTTTATTGATGTAAGCAGTTGGGATGGAAATGCCATCCATTTCAGGGGCTTTTCTGTTTGGGCAGCAGGGGTTTGGACTGGAAGACCTCTAAGGTACCATCCAACTCTGTTATTTTGTTGTTCAGTACCTATGTGACCTCATCTTCCAATACATCTGGCTATGCTTTCAGATTTCTAGTTATCTAAATGTATTTCTTTCATCTATTTTGCTGCTTCTGATAATTAATTCTTCCTACGGTTTATGCATAGTATGCTCCATATGCCAGTTTTCTTTACTATATTCCAGTGCAAAACTTCCAGAGCTGATATCAAGAATTGCACTAGAAAAAGCAATATAACAATGATCATTGTGCTGATTCTTCAATTTGAGCTAATCCCCTCCATGGGATGATGCTCCCCTTTCTTAATCCCAATCTGCACATAAATTTCTCTGGATGCAACAACACCCAGATAAACTAGTCACTCTCGTCTCTCATTTTCCTCCAGAGAAATCTGAATTTACTGTATAAAAGCCCCTTGGCTAGGATCAAGGACCAAAATCTCTTATCTCATTGCTGTATTGAGATTTAGATTGAGGTTCTCTGTGGGAACCCAGCAGAGAAACCAAATAAGATATTGACATTAACTAGAGTTGTCAGTGTGAGAGAATTGCTGTACTGAGATCTTTTAGTTTAGCTGGTGTAATATTTCTTATAGTCTGCAGCTTCTGCTCAGCTCTAAGAGAAGCATTATTCTGTCTTCTTTCAAAGAGTGCTTTTAAGCAGTGAGAAATAGAAGACAATCTGCTGGAGTGTGAAACTTGTCAGTCAGGAGACACTATAACCACACCTACCAAAATGCTGTGTGTTTATATCTTATTTACTCAACCAGACATTCTCCAGGTAGATGGATAGCTCCTTATTTTGGGATTAAAACAATGAAAATATTGCATATAAACATTATAAATAAAATAAACTATTAGAACTCACATTAGACAATCCAATAAATTGGCTAGTAAAATGGAAACATGTTCTTTGTAGTTTAGCGTCTTCCTCAACTATTTTCTCAATGATTAGAATGCTTTTTTCTGTCAGCAAATGGTTTCCTGGTTTCCCCTCCCTGTAAACCTTTTCATTCTTTTTTCTCCTTTCTTATAATCCTCTCTGCCTATAAGTACCTCCCTATCTTGTTCTCCTTTTTAAACCAATATCCTACAACTCTGGGGTTTTGTCACTGTTCTCTTCTGCACCTCTCATTAACTGTTTCTTCATTCATCGGAAAGGATTACAAGAAAGTAAGCAGGCAGGCACACAGTGGGAAATACACATTGAAAGGAATGCAATAGTGCTGGCAGTCCCAAACCCATTAGGCAAACAACTTATTGTTCCCCATTGTGTGCCTCCTTAGTCTCTGTAATCCCTTACTCTCCAAACTCTCTACTCTTCAAGATGGTGGAAAATGGGCCAACCACAGAATAATATGCAGACTATAATGACAATTATGTGACTGGGGGAATGCTGTGAAGATTGTAAACATGTACCTTGGTAACAAAATTATTTTTAAGGTCTGTTGTAACTTCCAACAGTTGCTGCATGGTAACATAAGTCTATTGTATTTTTATTGCTGTTTGTAAGTTGCCTAGAACAGTGATCCCCAACCTTTCTTATGCCGCGGCCCGGTATCCCCAACCTTTTTTATGGCGCGGCCTGGTACCGGCATTAGCTGGGCGCCACCATCTTTTTTTGATGAAAAAGTGCTTCCGGTGAGCTTTCTACCCGGAAAAGCTCACCGGAAGCACTTTTTTATCAAAAAAAGATGGTGGCGCCCAGCAAACCAGCGGCCCGGTAGGACTTGTTCTGCGGACCGGTACCGGTCCGCGGACCGGTGGTTGGGGACCCCTGGCCTAGAACACTGAAGGGAGTGGCTGGTCTAGATATTTAGAAATAAAATAATAAATTGCCTATCCCAGTAGTTCAAAGCCACCTTTTCTGAAATTTTAGAAGTTTTGACACTGTAATGTTCCATATAGAAGAAAACTGGGCTACGATAATACCCACAGCTTAGTTTATTGACTCCTGCAAGATTTTATTTCATTCTACATTTTTTTAAAATAACACAAACAGAAATGTGGATAGGATGGCAACATTCTACAGTATAGATCAGTATTCAGCCCACCTGCCAGCAACAATGACCAGCATGTAGCTTGGCAAAAGGTTTGCCATCCTGAGAGATAGTTGGGGAGCCAGTCACAAAATAAGATTAAAAACGGGCAGCAAATTAATGCACTTTCCAAAGCAAGCAGTAGTAGAGAGTTACACCAAAAAGCAATCATGCAGGAATAAAACACAGTATTTTTTTTCCCCAAAAATGACATTTCTGAATTTTGTTTTGCCATAAGTTCCAACTTATTGGAAACACAGGAAATATAAAATATGTTAGGTTTAAAAATACGAATGGACTCCTCATATTAAGAAGGTGAAATTGATCTTTTTGGACCCTTTTTCCTCTCAACTTTTTTCTATACTAGTTTATTTAAAATGACTTTGAACTCAGTCTGATGTGATAATTATTGGATTGCAATTAAATTGACTATTAAAGTAATCCTAGAAAGCTGTAATCCTGATAATTTGATAATGAGTGTAATGTGACTTTTTGTAGATTGAAAGAATTATCTTGCCACTCCATGAAATGTAGAATTGAACAGTAGCCCTAGATATGACTCTAAACTGTATAGTCATCATAGTTTATAAATGCAATGAAATTATTTCACTCTTCACTTTTGCTCAAGCACACTTTTCAAGCCCAATGGCCAAGAGATGCCTTGAGTCATGATAAGAAAAAGGCAATAAAAGTACCTTTGGCTCTTCAACTATAAATAGTCAAATCAACATTTTTCCTGTTGATCTAGTAACTTCATTAGAGCTCCATTATGACAATTTCTTAACAGACTACTTATTGAAAATGCACTCAGAACCTTTAAAAGAAATGTTTTTGCAATAATCTGGAAGTTAATCATTCTGCATAAATTAAACACAATGAAACATCGTAATAAAATAGGTAAATAACATTTCACTACCACACTATAATCACAGCCAATTGATGATCGCACTAGCTTTTCAAGTTCTAAATTGCTTAGGCAGTTGAAGGGTTCAACTATGATTGATAGATTTCCCTCCCAACTATAAAAAAAGCCGATACCTTTTACAAAGGATGTTACACAGAAATTGTCACCCAATTTCTTCTCTTTCAAGACATAAGCAGTCACTATGAAGGAATCCCCATTATGTGTGTCTACAGCAAGGAAGGAACAATACTATTTTTTTTTTAATTTAGGTGAATAAGAAAAAAGGTCAGATTGCAATAATCGTGAGGAAATCATAAATGGGTTTATTTTGTCACATGTAAAAACCTATTTCTTGAAAGAGAATGTGGGGTTATGAGGTGTGGGGTTTTTTTTTCCTTTGAAGAAGCTTTTGTGGATCAAAGTTTTCTCCAAATGAAAGGAGACTGAAGGATGCTATGCAAGTTTCCAGACCTTTATTTTTCAGACATAGTAGTCTGGATTCCTACTTATTCCTAGTAATGAAGTACTAAAGTCCTAGTAATTCCTATATATTTTACTTTATTTCTTCAAGGATGCATCATTGAGATGATAATGGATTCCTTTAAGGTTATGGATGAATAGACTTGGCAGCAGGCAAGGTAGACCTCACCCTTTTCCTGACCTTCTACATTTTGCTCGGATTGCCTTCCACTTCATGATCTAACAGTTCCCTTCCCAAAAAGATGTACTGAGAAGGCTTGGAGCAGACTTCCTTTTCTGTTCCTGAGACTTGAGACTTGAATGTTTTGACACAGAATAGAAACAAGCATGCTTGGGCTGACGCCCATCTACTCTTTCAAGTGATTTCTAGATGGTTGGCTATCAGTTTGCAGCAGCCAAAAAGGAACAAAAATCTATTATAGTCAACTGTAGTCTAGGAGAGTTAAGCTATAATCCATATCAATCTTTTAAGATGCTACCAGATACTTTCATGTTTTTAAAAATAAATACTATCATCTCTTGGTTTATAAAATCTCACTTTGATGTCTATAAAATTCTCTTGCTGCAAATGTATAATATAGCCACAATTTTCCTTCCAATTATGAGCTCTTTTACATAAGAAAGGGGAGGGGAGAAATCACAAATGAAAGCAATTAGTTTTTAAGTCTATTTTGCACAAATTTAAGCTGACCGTTCTTTCCTGAAATAAATTATTTTATACAAGAAAACCACATCATAAAGTCTCCATGTATAAAACTATGTGATCAAAGAGGAACATTCAAAGGAATATTGAAGAACAAAAGGAATCATCATAGAGTGTCTTAAAATTCAGACATCAAATGTAGGCAGGAGAGCCTTGTTTCCTGAAGTAAACAATTTCCATTTTTGTTAATTATATTGCTTTATACAGTGTTGCTGAAAAAACTACTTTCAGTTGGATTTGGCCTTTGTCTGCACAATTTGTAAATATATTAGCCTTGTTCTGTAGCTCATGTTTTGAGGAAATGACTTCCACGCCTCCAAAAATTACAAGGAGATATTGTATCAGCCATCCTTTTTAAAGCCATAATGGCCAAAACTGAACCGAAAAGTTTAATTGGAATGAAAAGGAAGTATCAAAATGGAACCTGGAGGAAAGTATGGACACGTGGAAGAACAAATAGAGTCTCCATCACAATATTCAAAACATTGCTAGAGACTACACAGAAATGAGCAATTATCTTCAAAGGATTTAATTGCATTTATTCATTGCATATTTTGATGAAAACAATTTCTTTTTTGTCTAAGTGCATTTACTGCTAAGTTTATTCATTAGAGGTTCTTTTCTTTGAAAAAGCGCCATTAGAAGAAAGTATGTGCTTCATAATTTCTCTCTGTAATACTCATGGCTTCGATGCATGAATTTATCTGTAGTAAAGTGACATTTGGGACCACATTTTATATCTGTATTTGTAACCTCAATACAATACATCATGATAGTAACCTATATCCTGACCTCGTGCTGACAATACAGATCTATGAATCTTATCTTAAATATTTTCATAGTGCATCCAAGAGTCATGCTATATGACACTGTATATGTATAGCAACTGGAATATCCCATCTAACACGTAATTTATTTTGCTGGCATTTCAAATCTTAAGACTGAGTTGTAAGTCTACAGTTCAAAGCACACTTTCTTACACATTCCAAAACAACAGTGATTAGGTCTGAAATTCAGTTGTACAATCTTAGCCCCATTTATAACAGATATGAAATTTACACTACAACCAAATGCCAGTTTACGTGCCGTTTTCAGTGGCCACTGCAAATGCTTCCCAAGTATAACAGTTAAGAGCCAGCTGGACATGGCTTTCTATGTCTCTTCAACAGCTAGTTAGTTATCAAACCCATCCTAACAATACACTCAATTGCTGGAGTTCAATTTTTGTCACATGCAATATGTGACTAGTGGAAGATCAGTTGAAAACTATTAAAATGAAAATGAAATTTGATTAGATGATTTCTTGGCATACTTGCTCTTAGCTTGCCATTAACATTTCCCAAAGTTTGTAATGGGCAGGAGCTGGTGAGGCTGGCAAGCTATTTTGCAAAACAGTTTTAAAAGATGATAAAAATAATTCCCAGAGCTACCCCACAAAGGAAATATTTTTTAAGAACAATACGGGTAGGTGCACAACGGCTACATTTCTGTTTGGGGGCTCTAAAAGGCAAAGTGATAGAACTGCTGTTGCTTGGCTTGAACAATGTGGATAAAATCCAGGCAATTTTATGGCAAGTGGGAGGCTTCGATTTGGCAATGAACCAGGCCAAAGAAGCCAATAAAAGTCTGTAAGCAAAATGATGAGACACACCATCAAATGGTCTGCACTGACACAATTGAATTTGGCTTCTGACAAGTGTGCAGTTCTGGTTTGCATCTTGGCTTGCTTGTGTTGCTCATATGCAATCTGCCAGTGAGGATCCTTCGTAAAGTTCCTTTCCACCAAACCAGAAAATGTAACTAAAGTGCATATAGTTCCTCCAATTGTTTCAAATGTTCAGTATTTTTATTACTAGTATTGCCATCTTCACCTTGATATCATAATGAGATTTGGTGATATTCTTCATTCTGGTGGTATTCTTCAATTAAAAGGCAAGAACAGAAGAGGGGTGCTTATGCCAAATATAAGAGTTGGAAGCTGTCATGAGTACCATCATGGTAATATGAAAACTTTAGATAATGTTAAAAATAGTGCATTGAAGAATATCCAATAATCATAAAAAACAGACCATGTAATCTTTGGATCTTATTGCTTGCAAATAGTTCAAAAATTATCATTATAGAAAAATTGTATCAAGTCATTTGTTATTCAGTCTTCACTGAGAACTGCTTCTGTCTTTCCTGCATCTGCAATGAATAATTGAAGAGATGGTTAAATAGCCATGCAACAAAGAAATAAACACATTCATGCACAACCCCTGCACAAAGTTAATCAGCATGAACATTTCATATGCTCTTTGATCATTTTTCTATTTTGTTGTTGTTAGTAGAGTATAGCACACATAAAATTATAAAAACAATATAGTGGAAACTGTAAGTTAAACATAGAATGTGCATTTAATTCCACTTCCAAATTTTCTTCAGAATGCTTGAGCAAAGAGAGAATTTTAATTTAAGACTGAAAAGAGTCAATTCTATCATCTTTGAGAAGATGCCGTTAAGTTCAGTGACATCACAGAAAGGATTTACTTTTGTACACATGTAACATTTCTCTGAACAAAGATACGTAGAGAAAAATTTCCTGTGAAGTTCTTGGTAAAGGCAGGAGGGTATGAAAGGCATTCTTTGGGACATGGAATTGATTGTTGTCACCAGGGGGGTTGGGGGTTATTGCTATTCATTCTTTTTATATTGGTTTTTTTTAATCTTTGTAAGCCACCTTGAATCACTGAGAGCTGGGTAGCCATATACATTTTCTTAAATAAAATAAATAAATATTTGTGTCCCAGTCATTTAGACATGACATGGGCATAGAATATCCTATTGAAACTTGTTTTAATGTGTAGCTTGTATTTCCTGACTGGGCAAGGTGTTGTCTATGTAATTAATTCTGTGACATCAGAACACAATAGAATGTGTTCCTGGATTGCATGCAAGTTAAAAATAAATTCTCATACCAACTAAATTCTTGAATTTCTTTTTGGCTTCTGCTCTTTCCTCAGCATCGAAATACCACACAGTCATTGCATACCTACAAAGGGGAAAAAAATCCATGATCCATTACATTGAGACTTTATTATATCTTTGAAAATTCACAGAGCATACAATTTATTATGTATTTATTACATTTATATTGCCGCCTGTTCGCCCATGGCGACTCAAGGTGGCTTACAGAATATAAAACCACATTTAAAACAATAAAAATAATAAAATAAATTAATACAATAATAAAATCATAATAAAATCACCCCCAACCCTAGAGACAGCAGATCACACAAGCCATTTAATGAGCTCCATCTTTCTCTGGGTTCCCCACACCTGCTGGCAGAACCAGGTCTTCAGCACCTTCTGGAAGAGTACTAGAGTGGGGGCCATTCTAATCTCTGGGAGAATGATGTTCCAGAGAGAGGGAGCCACCATGGAGAAGGCCCTTTTTCTGTGTCCCACCAGTGTATCTTCCTCGGGGATGGGACCCACAGCATTCCCTGCCCCCCGCTCTGCTGGGTTGGGTAGATGTGACTGGTAAGAGACTGGTAATTGTCATGGGTGCTTGTGACAAAGAAAAAATGTCTAAATTCCAAGAAAGGCATTACTTACAATTTGACTATATGGATCAAAACGCACCTATCAAAATTTTACCAATTTTACCAGAATTGCTGGGGGAAAAAATCCCTCAAATGGTTTGTGTGTGCATGCACATGTGTATAAGTGGGTCCTTTAAATGAGGCTGAGTATCTGGCACACAGAACTAGAGAACAGAAATGCCTATTGAGCCAGGAAGTTAACATTAATTTGCATAACTGCATACTTTTTTTCTTTCTGTTCAGTCATGTCTGATTTTTGGACATTGCCTGGGCAAGTCCCTGCAGCTTTCCTGGCAAGGTGTTTTTGGAAGTGGTTTCCTTCCTAGGGCTGAGATAAAGTGCCTGGTTCAAATTCACACAGTTGGCTTTGTGCCCAAGGCTGCACTAGAATAACTCTCAGTTCCTAGGCTGATGCCTTAATCACTACATCAAACTTGCTCTTGACTGCATACCATGTATATATACATAGTAAATACCAATCAGTAGATATTCAATACAGATTTAAACATGAAAAAATGTGATGATTTCCTTTTCAATAAAATATTAGAAAAATGCAAGAATAAAAGAAGACACTTCCATACCAAAAGTGTTTCTACATAATAGATACTTCATTTTCTCCAATATAATTCCCAAATTATATGACTAAACCAGAATATTGTTCCTTTCATTTAGCAAGTTTAAGAATTCATATTTCAGAAGTCTACTAGATTCACTGATCCTTCTTGAATCTGCTACCTGAAATCATTTTAATGACAATGCTGGAATTGTACATCTAGCTATATATGCAATCTCTCACTGAGCAACAGACTGCTGTCCTGTATAATTATCTTTAAAACCCACACTTAAGGTCTTTTACCTTGTTGCATAGGAAGGCTGCACTTCATGTGGGTTTCTTCGGTCTGACCAGAAAAAAAGTAATCTGTCAAAGATGGGCTCAACATCAGCTACATAGGACCTGCCCTCTGGGAATATTCGTAGAATCCCCCCATGAAGCTTAAACAGAAAGAAAAGAAAAAGTTCATTTTTGATTAGACAGGATAAGCAGATCTTAAAATGGCTTATTTTGTATATGTGCATAAAAAAACAAACCAGATGAGGACCCCACTGGAAATGAATGGGGAGGATGAAGAACCCATCTGCTGATAGCAATAGCAATAGCATTTAGACTTATATACCACTTTATAGCCCACTCTAAGCAGTTTCCAGCATATTGCCCCCAACAATTTGAGTCCTCATTTGACTGACCTCAGAAGGATGGAAGGCTGAGTCAACCCTTAGCTGCCCAAAACTGAACTCCTGGAATGAGCAGTGAGTTAGCTTGCAATAGGCGTCACCATGGTTCATGATGAAAAATTCTCCACAACTATAGAGGTCCCTTCTTCTCATCTTCCTTCAATGGAAGAACATCATTAACCCATAATCCCAGGGCTGACCTAAGTATGTACCATTTGTGTTGCAATTCCTGAAGAGTCTTTAGATATAATATAGTCTAAACTCCTGCCACATTCTCTTTGTTCTACTATAATGGAGGACATTTTGACTGATGTGCCTGGAGACGTCTAGCACCAATTTCAATGTACCTCTGCCAGCTGAGAAGCACAGCTTCCTAAACTCATTAATCATCCTTCCAGCAGGGGGGCAGTTGCATCATTTGTGAAATATTAATGGGAATATTAATGGGTAGTAAATGAATCAGCTTGAAGCACTGATCACTTCTTTTCCCTGGTACCATGAATAGAACTAGGAATCCCAATAAATATTAGTAAATGAATGCACTTTTTAAAAAAGGGAAATCATGTCTAAGGGCATGATCATTATTCAAAATAAAGCGAGTAAAAAGTAATATACAGAGAACACAATTCTTTAAAACTGCTTTTTTACTTAGCCAAATTAATGTGTTCTTTGTGTTTATTGAAAAATCTTGAAATGAATCGATATTAATGAGGTGAGTGGGGAAAACAATGCTCCTTTTCACAAGGCTTTCTGACCCTGATTTTATCTGGTTTTCTATAAACCAGACCTGTTGTACTCCTTCTTGTTATGACAAACTTTTTGCTATCACATCCAAATGGAAAATCTGAAAATCACTTCCATCCCCAAACTTAAGTGAGATATTTATGTATGTATGTATGTATGCATGCATGTATGTATGTATGTATGTATGTATGTATGTATGTATGTATGTATCTGTATCTATATATCTACATCTATATCTATATCTGTTATATATCTATATCTATATCTATATCTATATCTATCTATCTATCTATCTATCTATCTATCTATCTATCTATCTATCTATCTATCTATCTATCGAGCAAAATATTTAAAGAAAAAGAAAGCTGTATTTTCTGATGGGAAATCCTGACTCAGTTTCCTTAACTGATGGACTTCAAACCCTGATTTCTTAATTGCATAGTAAAAACACAAAGAGGGATGGGGGAAATTAGTATTTTGTTCTGCCTTTTCAGAAGCAGGCACCATAGTCTGACTTCATATAAAACTGTGCGTTCCAATTTATTTACATGTAAACATTTAATTTGTTACAGCAATTAAAAATGTACAGAATGACAAATTCTTCAGAGAACACTTTAGTTAGCCATTTATTTTTATTTTTTTAACAAAAAGCTGGAAGATTCTTGATACCTTTTAGTGTTGGTGGAAAGCAGTATCCAAGGATGCTGCACAATCAACAAGTAATCATTATTGTTATCTGTTATATTTATATCCCATCACCATCCTGTCTGTAATGTTGATTGAGAGAGAATGTCACATTCCAAGTTTCAATGGTTGAGGGCAGGGGTGCAATTCAACCGGTGTTACTACCAGTCCGGTGACTACATTTTGCCACTTTTTCCCTGCTTTTTCAACCTCAGCTGTGCCGCACGAAGGAGCTGTGGTTGAAAAAGCAGGAAATAAAGGACAGGTAAGAGCCTGTGCAGGTGGGTGGGCCAAACAGCAGCAGACACAGAACCAGTTCGGTGTTTGTTGCTCTTCAGAGCTACGGGTTCTATAGAGCCGGGCAGAACCGGTAGCATCCCACCCCTGGTTGAGGGGAATCTTAAACCTGGTATGGTTACGTGTTTATTTCAGATTATGCCAAAAGCACTTTTGCCAAAATATTAACATTTCAAATGTAATTATCCCCTTTTTTCTATTTAAAACTTTCTCAGATCAAAATCTTGTTAAGTTTTGTGCTATTATGTTTGCTGTTATGTTCAAACTCCTAGACTATTATTTTTCTCCTTTCTTTTTCTTAATCCAGATGTATTTCCTTTTCTTTCCTGCTGTTCCAAAAATGTTTCTTTAACTTTCAGATTGTTGTATCCAAATGTATTTAAGAAAGTGAGGTTTCAGTCAAACCCAGGGTCCTTAAAGGCTCCACTGTGGCTATGAGCTAGATTTCTCTCTCTCATTTCCCAGCCGCTCAACTCATGAGTTGACCACAAGGATCTTCAAATCCTATGGATGTCTCCGGAGGAGTGCAGATGGACAATCTCTAGGTTACTCCTTATCTGGAGAGGGTCTACTGGCCTGGACTAGATGATTGGCCACAGGTAACACTATAACAGAGTCTTCGCTCCCTCAGAGATGTCCTAGTTTGCCATAGTCTTCACCCAGAAGCTTGATGTGCCCAGACTTAATAGAGCACTACTGTAACACAACTCTATGCATGCCGTTTGACAGTGAGGTTTTGCAGCCAGATTGTTATTATAATCAAATTTACATTTTTCTTATCCAGATGGCATCTGTGGTCTTTTTACGACAAGTAAGCATTGGCTTACCACCAAATATATATTCACCAGAGGGCTGTAGTTAAAGAGTTCTTCCAGCATGCTTATTACATTGGCATTAATATATAGAGTTTTAAAACATATAAATAATTTTCTTTACTACTTGGATGCCTCCAAATTATAAGAAATGTCCCTATGTCATCTATTCATTTTGGTGTATTTTTGAGAGAAAACGAAAGGATTATTTTTATTTTCCACTCTGAGAAAAGTCTATGGAATCTCAGAATCATATTAAAAAATAATGCTCAAGTATTCCTAGGCATCCACAAGAGTTGGACATGGTTTGAAGTGGGCAATCTTCTAGATTCAGGGCTTTGTGTAGCTGAAAACCGATGCTTTTGACAGTTAGCAAACCTAAAGGCAGAACGTCAACTTGCTTTTCTTTAAGTATATCACAGCAAACAGCCTCTAAGCTCCCCCACACATGTGTTAGCAAACACAAAGCTTTTTATGAGGCCAAGACATGGCAAACAGAGGGAGAAGTTTTCATGATCTTACACTGTACATAGAGCAAAATCAAACAAATGTTCTTTTTCAAAGGCTGCTTTATACGGGACAAAAACAAGATGACCACAACTGAACTTGCCAATCTTCAGTTAAACTACCTCAGTTGTCAGAATCCATTCATTCCTTTACAGGCACCCATTTGTTTTCAAACTAAATCCCTTTTACCTGTATCTTTAAATAGTGAAAGTCACGCCAGTGGCTCAAAAATTCTAAGCTGCCCCCATCTTCAATAAGCTGTCTATCCAATTGAAATTAAAAAATACAACCATGAAATGGATTTATCTTCTCACTTCAGCTACTCAGAAGCAATGGTGTTGTTGTATTCAAAAATTTCACAGTACTTCATTAAAAATGGAACAGCAAGAAAACAGGTAGGTGGAGAAGTATTGTTTCCTGAGTAGGTTCCTTTTGAGTCTGCATCTCAGCAACATGTGAGGAGCTACATACCTTTGAATCCCAGTTTTTGTTCAGGTAATAAATGCAGGTGATACATCGCCCATCTCCATTGGGATTGTCCACATGACGCACATAGCCAGTTCCATTCCCAGGATAGCAAGCTACCATAGCCTGGAAGGTGATATAAGAAGAGAAAGAAAGATGCTTAGTATTTTTTCCTAGTTTGGCAGTTTTTAAAATTTCTCTATTTGCTTTTCAGATACAAATCAAAATACAATTTTAAACTATCTGTCTTACAACTGAAAAGTTGTAGATGCTGTTAAGTTTAGTCAGGCATATTATATTCTTCAAAGTAATTCTGCTCTTACAGAACAGTACTTTTAAGGAGGAATGCTCCTAGTGAAGATTATATTAAATCTTCTTTGAACTGAATCCCTAGCAAATGTAGGCTGGAAATTAGAAGCTGATATTAACAGTAAAGGAATTGTGGAGGCTATGAATAATTTTTAAAATGCAGCAGGGCTTTGCTTTATTTCAGTGATTTATTTGATCAATTTATATGCTGCTCATCTTGCAGCTTAGCAACTCTGTTTAAGAATATTTGTCCACCACAATTCTGAAATGAAACAATTAAAATATAAGTGAGCACACTATAAGGGCAAACGGTTGGAATATGATCTTAAGGTCCATTCCATTCCTACTGGAAATACACGGAAGTATATCTACAAATGTCTTCTGTCTACCACAAACATGAGTATCTTTACAGTTATGGTTTTGAATCTGAGTGAAATAGCCTTCCCTATACTAGTTATCTTTCCTGGGCATTTCTACATTTATTTCAGATTTAAATTATTTTGCAGAAAAGACTGTATCTCACTAAAGTGTCCTGCCTCAACTGGGTACCTTTGAAATGTGTTGGTATTACAAATCCTGTAATTGTAACCCTAATCAGTCCCTACACTTTTGGAAATTAGTTGAACAGGGAAGCAAGTACTAGTAAACTTTGCTGAGCAAGCTTTGGTAAAATGAATGGCAAATAGCAAGCAGAATAGCTTTCATTTCACTGAAGCTGTATAAGAGAACTTGTGCTTTAAAGAAGTATCCTTAAGTTTATAGAAGTGTGAATACCACTTTTTTCAGGTACCATAACTCAGACTTTCTCTCTATATTCCCACTAAATAAACATAATAAAACAATCCATTTTCCATCCCTCAGGATGTTTATATCTAATGCCTTGATGAAAGTAAAATTTAGATATTGTGTACAGTTGTTTCATTTCTTTTTTTTTTTTGTAAAAAGTTTTTTATCTTTTACAAACATCTTTTAGTAAATAATGTGGTTTCAGGTTTTTACATTTCCATACGAACATGACCATAATTACATATTTAACTTTCATATTCAGTTTCTTATCATATCATTACATTTTCCATTTTCTGTAAATTTTCACAAATATTCTTATATTTTTCACACTTATTTTACCCATTTTCAATTCATATCTTAACTTATTCCATTTTTCTTGAATTATACTCATATCTGTTTAATATAATATCTTAAAATTCTTATTTCTTAATCTATGTTTATTATGCTTTTATACTTTTATGTCATATTTGCAATTTCATCGCATACTCTTGTTTCATTATTCAATAAATTCCATCTTAATTTAATCATTCCAAACATTTCCCCCTCAATTGCCCATTTGAGTGCACCACCCTTTTGTCTAATACATCATTCAGTTTACTCTCCTTTAACTCATATTAAAAATTCCCATAATATAATCATTTTTAGTTATCACCTAAACACTACATATCACATATACATTTTAGGTTAGATTCCACATGGTATTCTTTCCTTTACCTTCTAAGTCATTTATTATTTCATATATATTGATCTTTTCATCTAATTGTAGAAACTATCTTTTTAGTACAATTCTCATAATTCATTTTAGGTATATTCTTAATTTCATTTAAGTAATTTCATTTAATTAACATTCTTATAATAGTTTCCCACTTTTACATTTATTCCAAATATATCTATATATAGTTTAACCATCATTCTTAAAAAATAATCAGATAGAAAAAAAACATCAGTTCCAATTATTCCATTTTTTAAAAAAATTGTTTTTATACCTTGCTATACATTACCTTACAGAATCCCCTTTCTTATTCTTTATCTACCCATTATCTCTAGGTCTTCCTGCTATGTAGCTTCTTTTCATTTTTTTTTTTTTTGGCTTTCTATCTCCCCTTCTTTTCTGGTCCTTTCCCTTATTCCCCCTTTCCTTTATTTTTCCCCTCCATTTCTAGCTCCAATTTTTCTCCCCTGCCCTCTTTTGAGCTTTCACCTGTAATTCCCTTTTTTGCTGTTTCCTTTTTTTTTTTTTGACTTTCCAAACAATTACCTCTTTAATTGTCCCCTCAAACCTCCAAGTTTTAATTTCCATGCTTTCCCCCCCTTGTTTTAATGTTCATTGCCCCATTTGTTCATTGAGGCTGGCCTCCTCTTTAATCAACTCCTCCCCTTCTGAATCTCCTTGTTCTTCTTTGTTCTCCAACGTCGTCATTTCTAATATTTTCAAGGCAATGCTGCACAGTTCCACTCTTTCAGATATCATTTCCCTTATACTTCTTAAGTACAATTTTATTTCTAAACAAATTTCTGCTATTTTTGTGCACATCTTTCAATTTTAGTTTTTCTTTTATCTCTTTCTTCAGGATTTAAGTCCCGTCTGGTTGTCCAGTAGTTTATTTAAACCAGCTTGTAGCAATCCACTTCTGTTAAATCCTGTTTCAATTTTCCAGGGTCAAAATAGTCCATTTTTTATATATTTTTATTATTAAGTTCCTTCTGTTGGGTTTTGAATTTTTCTCAAAGTCACCTACTATTCCCAGGGTTTCACTTTTCAGAGTTTCTATCTTATTTATCAAAGTTCCTCTTACTTTGTATCAAGTTCCAACTTTCAGAGAACCAAACACTTTTTAAAGAGTCACTGAAATTTTTCCTTTACCATCTCTGTTATGTCCAAGTTCCACCTTTTCTATTCACTTTCCTTTCCCTTTTAAGGCTTTTAATTTTCAACAATCCAGTAAGTCCAATTGTTAAGTATTATTTATTTTTGGCACATTCAAGTTCAGCTTTTAATTATGCCTGTTTAGTGCCAATATTATATAATTTAATATAATCCAATTTAAGCAGATATTTTCTTCTAGCTTCCTCTTTCAATTTAACTCTTTTTAAAGTTCAAAGCCACTTTCACTTATGTTCAATTCCCCCCCCCCCCCCACTCCCTCTGGTCACTGTTTTTCCAATCTTTCTTACAAGTCTCTCTAAACTTTAAATCCGGGGTACCTTTATATTCCAAAACTTTTAAACTTTAAATCCAGGGTACTTTATATTGCTCCTGGTTTACCTATCTCTACACTGTCCGCTTCTTCACCGCCCCTGCACAATCTTTGTCCCAGATAGCTCTTCATCTTTAGGGTGGCCATATTTAACCATCGCTGCAGCCCATCTTTGGGGGAGTTTACCTAGCCAGGGAGGGGAGATGCGGTTCCCCTCAACCTGACAGGTGGTCTCCCCCTTCTTCCCCACCCTCCAAGGTGGTTCTAGCCCCTTTCGAAGCCCTTTAACGGGAACAGCACGGATCGAAGCCGCACATGATTGCAGTCTTCGGTCCGTCATTGATGAAAATGCCCGTGGAAGTCTGATGTTTCATTTTTTGATTATATAGGACTGTAAGGACCTCCCTGTCAAGGCTTAAACCACAGAATTAGCCAAACATATTTCAGAAGTAATACCTTATTTTAATATTTTCATGCCTGCTAATGTAACCATCCTCATTTCGTGGAATTAATCAGAAGACCAAAGATGGAGCCACCCTCCTTAAGAATCATAAGGGACTGCTACAGAGGATATGAGTGAAAGCATATTTAGTACTGGTTATGGAGGAAATGAGTTCTTCACAGTACTCATTTATTTTCCTTTTTTTAAAACACAACTAGAACCATGTCAGAGGCCTAAGGCTGCCATTCCTGATTATAGTAATCACCACCATTACCATTTAATGGAACCCAAAGCTCTATGGCCCGAGGAGGCAGATTTTAGTAGTCACAGCAGCATATTCCTCAACTCATTTTTCTCTTAGAGACAAATGGCATTACAGCATAAAACCAGAGTTTGATGACAAGGCTGTGAAAAAAGCTATATTTGGTGGGTCAACCTCTGTAGGGCAACAAACTAGGGAAGATCCCATTCTTTCTTCTCCCTTCCAAAGAAAATCCCCTCAAAGTACTAGTTAGGCATTTTAAAAATATTTCTTTAGTTACCACCAAAGGCCATTTTACATTGCAAAGAAATACAAAACAAAAACTTACTTCAACAAATCATCTGTCATATCCATTTCAGAAATCTAGACTTAATGTGGTTTTTCTTTTCTTTTTTTTTAATAAAAATGCACTTTTTCATGGAAAGGAAGACAAAATTGTCAGCTCTTAGAATTTAAAAATGGAAAGAAAGATTATTCATTGTCTGCTTCACATCTTTTTTCCTCACAAGAACTTCAATCCACCATTTACCACATGCACATTTCCCCAAATTAATAAATACTTGGTTCTGTAAATTTTCACTGATCCAAATATTTATTGAAAGACAAAGCTTCTACTCACTTTTCTTCTAACCTCACAACCAATTGTAAACATGTGTGTGAGCAGGGTGACTAAAAATTGGTAAGTTTTTTTTTAAAAAATGAGATTTTTTAAAATTTAAATCAGTTTTTTTATTTTTATCAAATTTATTTGAATAAAATGCTTTTGGAGTAAAAATCTAGAGGGTTTTCTATTTAAGATACATTAATAATTTATTTTATTCAGCATGAAATGGAGCTTGATATGTAGCATGAGGCTGTATATTCTGCAATATTGGGACTGTCGGTGAGTCAACAGCAGGTCACAGAAGGAGCTGCTGCAGGACAGAGATGACAGTTGCTCTTTAAAAATTATGATTTAAATCAAGCCTTTTTACTAGTAATTTGAATCATGATTTAAATCAAGTCCACCCTGTGTTAGTTAAGATTTGGATGCAATATGCAACTTGGGCAAAGGTTAATTCAGAAAGGAAACCTATAAATAAGAGCTACCTGTTTTAAGGCAGGGATTGGTCCTACTAGAATACGTATA